ATATAATTAAATTATAAAAATATTTTTTATTAATATAATAAATGTTAAAAAATTCAAAGTATATGACAAGTGTTAGAGACACATCCGAAAACCTCCCACCTACGGAGGGTAGTGTTTCTGTGCTGACAAAAGAAGGTTGTATTGTGGGGGCAGAATTGGAATTTTGCACGTTCTCCCAAACACCCAACACATATATGTCGCCCGGGATTCGGGGGAAAAGCCTATCACATTACAAACACCTTGGACTTTGACGACACTTGTGTTTTTACCGAATTGCCCTTTAGCACACTACAAGTCTTCCAATCCTTTGGACGTACGTGTGTGTGTGTGTGTTTTTTTTTATATCAATGTCTTCATATTTTATTCCAACATTAACATTCTATTTGAATAAACATAGCATGCGGTGACTCCGGACTATCTGTAAAGCATGTGATCGTCTTGAGATTAGTTGGCTCGCATAACGGGTTGGATATTTAGATTAATAAAAAAAAAGATAAAATTTAATTGTTGTTTGTGTGCTTTTAAATGACAGTTTATTACAACGTATAATTACCTGTATTTTTACGTTTTCTTTTCTTCTGAAGAATTGTTATTGTTGTATCAGTATAGTTGTACATAGTTAGTATTTAAAGGTTGTGCGCCGACACTGTGTATATGATATATAAAGTGTGTGACAATCTGGTAATGTATGAGAATCTTCTTTTGGTAATTGTGGATGTTTGAGTTATTTTGTGTGTATCTCGACTAATCTTATTGGGCTCTGAAGTTAACAGTCAGACAGACTCCCAATGACTTTAACGGGAATTGAACTGGTGACCTCGAACGACAACACAAACTCAATGTCGTAACAGTTAACTTCTTAAGGTCACGTATAACCGTCTTGAGGGTCAGTGAATGTATCGTCTGTATTTTTAAGTTGAAACTTTCTTTATCAAATTTACGCTTCTATTCTAGTATTAGCTCTTAAAGGAAGATGTAAGAAACAACGATCTAATATTAATTTTTTTATAAGTCGAAGATGACCAAATTGAAAGATAGACCCAAAACCTTGGCTATGACAACTCTAACGTTGGTCGAAAATTTAAGCTTCAAGATGGAACATAGAATCTGTGTTCAACCAATGAACATCGCTCTTTTGAATATAAAATTTTAGATAAAAATAAGTTCCGAGTATGTAGAATTTGGAGGAAAAAGATTGCTCGGAGAAAAGGGCGTGGTCTTTCTCATTTTAGAGAAATTAGCTCAGATGATCATTTCCCTCATTCAAATTGGTTTTCTAACCATTTCTCTTCCGGTTGACCCAAATGTCACTACAAACCTGGCCGTCACAATTGCATATTTGTGTTGAATTTGAATATTTTTTTGGCCTTTAGCTATTGCGGACTTGGATATAGCAGAAGTAGTGACATTTGGATCAACTCGAGAAAGAAATGGTTAGAAAACCAATTTGAATGAGGAAATGATCATTTAACTCATGGACTCCTCTTTGTATTATTATTGGCTTATGTCATTGTGTGTTTTTATGATAAAAAATTCTCTTGAATTGTGTCCGAGTTATACAAACAAAGTATATACCGTCTAAAGATTCATTTGTTCTATTTTTTTTATGCATACGTATGTGACTTCTTGATTTGCTATCGTGTCAACGTCTGCGTTATCAATGTGTTCTTGTACCATTTGTTTATATTTTAGGAGTTATGAGGATTGTACGGCTAAAACGACATATGATTTTTCTTTATTAATCAAGATTTTAGGGGACATTTACCAAATGTTTATCGGGTGTCACTTATCTTACCGGATGAGAAAGGGAAGAACCAAAAATGCATAGCAAGAAGCGGAAATTTTATTTGGGGTAAGTGAAACGCTTACCAACAATCAATTTGATGACCGAAAATGTTACAAACGATGAGGTAAATGAATATGATAACTCTTATCGATAAGTGCTTTATCAAACAAACGTTTTGATTACGTTTATTTTCGTTAATTGGATATATGACAAATTGGGTTTCATATGTTTTGGATTTGGAATGATACATAGTGGGCTCATGATAATTTTGTTTACCAAAGAAGTCCATTAGCATAAGAATCCAATGGGCCATTTTTAACCCATTTTTTTTCTTTTTATTTATGTAAATAGATTTTATATTTTTGTTTGAGGACAAAATCAAAGTCATATAAAAAGACTTTTATATGTTAAAAATAAAAATATATAACTAAATAGTAAATAAAGGTTGAGTTCACGTGAGATAAGGTTGTTTTCGTGAGACACGATATTTACACTTAAAACTTTACAATAAAATGTTGTGAAGGTAAAAAAAGCCGAATCTTCACAGCAAAAACACTATGAAGGTTACATTCACAGTGTTTTGCTGTGAAGTTTCAAGTGTAAAAATCGTGTCACACGAAAAAAGTCCTGTCTCACGTGATTCCAAGTTTAGTAAATAACTTTTAAGTTTACACTTAGTGAAATTACATCAAACACAATGGTCTTTATTGAATCAAAATTGGTAACTTTTTTGAGAATATGGTCTTGGTCGAAACTCATTGAGTGACCATTTTTGGTTTAGGGTTGGGTGCCGGTGGGAAGGAGGCTTAAGGTGAGAAATGTAAGAAGAGATCTCTATCATTGGATGCAAATTAAGATGAGATGCACCGGGTCAATCTCCATTTCAAGCGCGATTCATTTGTAGATTTGAAATTAAAGGTGATCGATCAGGGGTCTGGATTCCTTCTCACGCTTCCGATCTTAACTCTCTACTTCTCACACGACCATTCGTGTTTCGGTTTAATGCCCGATGATTAGACGGTCGAGAGGACAAATTGATAAATGAAAATATATTAATAAAATGCATAAAAATGTAAAAAGCAAGTTACAATGACGTGGAAAACTCTGTGAATGGGTAAAAACCATGAGTGATGTTAAATCACCGTTCCGATAGTAATAAAGATTTTACGTTAAGCTATAGAAATAGTTCGCATATATCAAAACTCGTTCCATAAATCTACCTCTCTCTTATAATTGGCCCCGCTCCTTGTATCTGTTAGCTAATAATCTCCGGGGCATCAGAGAGTTCAGGGCCGGCCCTGGCCATGTGCAGCCCGTGCGGTCGCACAGGGCATCAAAACCGAAAGGGGCATCAAGTTGTCATTTATTACTAGTTTTGGGTTTAATAATTTGGGAATTGAACAATTAAGCTTTAACTATAAAAACAGGCCCAAGGCCTAGTAGTGATGAATACTGAATGCACATCGTTGGAAAAAGTTGGAAAAGTTTTTGTTTGTATAAAATTGTCTGTATGAATTAATTTGTTTGTATAAGTTGGAAAAGTTTTTGTTTGAGAAAGTTTTTTCGCAGATGTTAGGACCGTTTTTTTAGTTGGAAGGAACGTGTTTGGGAAAAAAAATTGGCTTTCTATATAAAGTTCCCCCTAAAAGCTTATTGGATAAGTCACTTTCTATATCATTAAGTCACTATGAAACAGTCATGCATAGTTGAGCGAATAAGCTGTTAGTTCTATTAAACTTATTAAGTTGCTAACAGATAAGTCCTTAGTCTTTAGTCATTAGACATGTAACTTTTGAGTTTAACTTTTTGTTTGCTATGACAGTAACTTGAATGTAATTTACTATCTTAGTTAAAAACTAATTGTAATTTTCCTTATCTTTTAAATCTCATATATTGAAATAAAGTTTTTATTTTGTTAATTTTAATTTGGAAAAGGGAAAACTGGAAAAGAAGGAAGCACGATCTTAATCCAGGATTTATCCTTTTATCATTTATATTTTCTATTCGAGGTTATGGTTTTTATGTTCCCCTCATTGTATTTTTTTTATTATAATTAATAAAAATCAACATGGAAATGAGATACTTAGCTTAAATAAGTTCTAAACTCTTAAAAAATCGCATGTTTAGTTGGCTTTAAAAAATAGGGTTAGGGGCATATTTTATTATTTTCGCATAGGGCATAAAAAATCTTAGGACCGGTCCTGAGAGAGTTATTTGGACGTGAGCTCACTATGTCGTTGTTGCCCCTGATGTCTACTTCGTCAACATTTCAAGTGTCGTCGTCAATCCTCATCGTCAAGATGTCTATAGCTATTGTCGACAACTCAAAGTCTGGATCCAAACATAGCCCGCTACGATGTGCCAACTTGCATCCTCAATATCCGAAAGAGTCCATGTCTAGTTCAGACGACTTTCTTTATCACCACAATTCTATATGATCCTCGTTAAACAATCAATACATCAAATATAGTTACAAAAAAATTATTATTTGAATAATAATCATAATTATCTTTTTAATTTAACAAGGTGGTGCCTGATTGGTTTGAGCTTGGCTCCAAAGGTCAAAAGTATCAGGAGGTCCCAGGTTCAAATCCAAGGAGGAATAGAAATCCTTTTGTGGCCACGGAGGTTCAAATGCGGTGACTCCGGGCTATATACAAAACAGATGGTCGTCCTGAGATTAGTCGGCTCGCATAGTGAGAGGTTAATAAAAAAAAAACACCTAAGATATAATTTGAACCAAGCGGATAAAAATCACCCATATAAATCACAAGGGTGGTGTCTAATTGGTTTGAGCTTGAGCTCCAAAGATCAAAAGTATCTAAAGATCTCAGGTTCAAATCCGAGCAAGAATAAAAATCCCCTTGTAACCACGGAGGTGAAGTGGTTGTTCCCCTGTGATTTTACTCGTTTAATGCAAATTAAATGGTTTAAATAAAAAACCATTCAACTCGGCGTGCATTCTCGCCACCTTTTTCTCAGCACCTCCCAAACCCTTTTTTCTTGTCTTCATCATCCTCAAAGCTTCAACTTTGAAGAATTGGATGCAGCCCTGAAATCTGATCCTTTGGCTCCGATCTGTGGCCTTTATGCTTGATCGATCACTTCCTCCTATGAGGAAGGAGGGGGATGAGACCATAACAATAAATCAGAAATAAAAACCTGATTTAATCTTGTTGCAGGATCTCCTTCCTCCATTGAATCGATTTCTGTAATGGGTACACAGGTGTTGCGGGCGCAAGATTTCTTGATCCATCGGAACCCGACCATCTTTCATCGTCGCCACAAACCTTACACTGCAAATGGAACCACATTTCCTAGACGGCAGACTAACAACAACGGTCACCGGAAATCAAACGCATGGAGATATTTGCAGAAGCGGATGGGTTCGCCGGAGATCAACAGATCCGCCAGTACACCTGAGTTGACGGCCAAACATCAAAAAGAGAAGCAGAGGCTGCCGGTGATGACTTTGGATAGAGTTAATTCTATGAACTGTGTTGAAAACATCTCCGGCACCGGCAGGTTACGGAGTGCTCCGGTCGTTCATGACGATTGGTATGCAGGGTCAACGTTCCTTTTGTCTCCGCCGCCGGGGTCCCTGCCACTCCCTTCGTTTTTCAACAAGAAGCAAGGTTCAGTCGCCATTGATAACAGTTTTGATGACGTTGCAACCAAGGATCTGAGGCATTTGCTTCGGCTCGCGTGATTCAACCTTTCAATACCATAAACCCTAAAAATGATGGACCTTTTGTATTATTTATTAGGGTTGAGTATTTATCATTTTTAATATATTTTTTTTCGTAAATATGTACAATTGTACGTAGTCAAGCTTTGCGTTTTTGTATACAATTGTATATATGGAATTATATATAATAAAAGAACACGTAGGGGATCTAAGTCCATCAGTTCAGTTATCTATATGGATAAATTTGTTTGTTTGAGAGATAAACGACTGATGGGATCGAAGGAGGCAAAGGAGAGGGTTGAATTATTTCTGGTAGTACTTTGTTCGAGCTAGCTTAATGGGAATAAGTGGGGGGTCTCGGCTTATTTTATATAGCCATTTTGGCTTAATAGCTTAACGATTAAGCTGTAAGTCGTCACCAAACCACATGTAATCTCTTTATCTTTATATATATGTGGTATGTCTTAGGGTTGGGAGGATGAAAGTGTTGGTAAAATGGAAAAAGCAAAAGGGATAAAGCATTTTAAACCCAAAAACAAAGTGGAATTCAAACACCGAGCGGGTGATTATGAGGTCACTTATTTGGTAAGTATAGTAAGAACCGAACATCTTATCAGATAAGAGAAACAATAAAGGTAGAATGTCTTACATGGTAACCGAAAGTGGTAATGTTTATCGGGTGATAAACACTTACCAACAATCCATTTTGATGTTCAAGAATGTCCAAAATCCGTCAATAATTTCCGACGGATCGACGATTTTCAGAGTATGAGAAATTTTCTCAACAAACCAAAAGTCCGTCTGTGAATTAAATAAGTTACCAATGGATTTCCAACTACCGATGGATTATCGAAGTCCACGCTAATAAAATTTACAAAAATAAAAAAATAATTTTTATTACCCATAAGTAATTTTTAAATTAACCAACCGATCAGCGACGATTTTTTTTTTCTAATTTGTTTGTTGTTAATATCAAGCAACATTTTAACATAAAATGTAAAACCAACTTGAATTCAAAAATGGAAAAACAAGGGTTTTTAAACGACCGTCGGTGATTATCGACTTAGTTTTTAGTTTTCTGTGATGTTTTTTATACGTATGAGCTTAAATTTGATTGTTTTTTATATGATTTTCTATGTGTATGCATACATATAGGTAGGTGTTTATGTTTCTCTATGTGTATGCACGAATATGTAGGCGTATGAGATATCATCATGGCCATTCCAATTTTTTTAGAGGCCCAATGCGTTAGCAATGACGCGAGCAACAGTTATAACATAATATTAAAGTTAAGTGAAACTAGTCATAGAATAGGTGTGTGTGCGCTTATGTGCCTATGAACGACACTGAAACTCATGTATAGTGTGGGCAGTGGGCATGTCCATGGTTCAATATAGCAGTGAGCAAAAACAACCAAGTATCAATGCTGGACATCAGCAAAACATCGAGGTGCAAATTGGCGTTGAAGATGGAAGATCAATGCTGGACAGCAGCAAAACATCAGCTCTTTTCGATCAAAGTACCAAGTTCATCGTTCTAGACTTTTATTACAATTGAGACAAGTAAGCACCAGCCCCGGTTAATGTCAAGAAGCAGAATGCATAGACTTTTATTAAGACGGTGGAGTTTTTATTGTTTGAAGGGCTTTTGGGCTATGTTAGAAGGGAGTTGTTAGATGGTTTGAATGGGAATACAAATGGGGAATTAACAGGAAACCATTGAGAGGAATTGGAAGATACACACACGTGAGGTTTGGAAGCAGAGGCGGTAAGGAAAGAAACACACAAGACTCTTTCTCGATTGTGAGATACACATGTTGAATTCAATCAGCTCGGAGAGATAGTAGACATGAAATATATCATGTATTGTTTATATATGAATATACGATGGATCTATGTGTGTTGTACTTATATATATATATATATATATATGATATCATGTATGGATGAGATATCATGTATCATGTTAGTGTACATGAGTGTATATACATGTGTGTGTATGTTGTACGTGTGTTGGCTAGTCACCTGTTCAAATTTCCTTTGGGGTATCGAATGTTATCTCGGTTATCAACTTCAGGACCACATATGATTAATCGAGTTATGTACAAACTATCTTCGACATTCACGGTTATAAAACATAATTTATTAACCAAATCCAGAGGCGTAGTGGAGTGGAGTGGAGTGGAGTGGAGTGGGGTGGGGTGGGGTGGTTGCCGGTGCCAATGTCAAATCTCAGCCCAAACCCACAATTTGTTTGAGTCACCATAGCGATTGTTTCAACGAATCGCCATGGGGCCTTGCAGGGACAGTTAGAAAAATCCCCACGGTGGTCCTGAAAAGACTCTAACGGGCGATATATACGAAGGAGCCCCAAAGTCTTGGTAGTTAGTTTAATTGAACACAATTTGTTCTATATTGAGACATCATAATCTGTTTGTATTTTGAAAGTTCTTAATTCTTTATAATCAGGTTGAACCGTGAGAAAAAGAAGAAGAGTCGATTCTTGTTCATGCTAAAAGAAGATGTCAGTGACCTACAAGTATATTCTAGAATATACTTGTAGGAGTATCATCGACGGATGACCCTTTTAGCAACGGATTTGCGAAGGAAATTTCCCTCGCCGATACTCTGCATTTTTATAGTGTCTAACGGTTATAATCTTATGAAAAAGTACTTACTTCAAACAACCATAGACGCTGGACTCTATTTTTCAAATTTAGAGTCGCATACGTAACTTAAATTAGAAACCACTTAAACAAATGATTAAACGAAAAAACAATTTAACCTTTTTATTAATAATTTTCAAAATAAAATTATCAAATTAAAAAAAATTAGAACATATTAGTACCAGGAAAAATTACAGTAAATTGAACCAACTTTGACTTGATTTCTATTTTGAAAAATCAACTTTCAAAATCTTTATTTTAAGATCTGAAATAAACGTTTCGTTTATTTAAAGATTTGGTTTACTTAATAACCTATTAATCATGACATGACTTTGGTTAATGTCAACTATTATACCACGTGATATTTAAAATTTACATAATAAATTTAAAATGATGATTTGGCCTTAATAATTATGACATAATACATACCCTATGCTTATTATTTTTAGCTAACTAATTTAATAATTATTGTAAATTAATTATTGCTTTCAAAGCATATAAGAAAATTATATTGATTTGGGATCATGTGAGACGACTGTTTTCGTGAAACATGATTTTTACATTTGAAACTTCAGATCAAAAACTGTGAAGGTAATATTCACAATGTTTTTGTTGTGAAGATTTGTCTTTTTTTTTTTTTTTTACATTCACAACATTTTGTTGTGAAATTTCAAGTATAAAAATCGTGTCTCACAAAAACAACTTTGTCTTACGTGAACCAAACCCAAATTATACTTATTAAATGTAGGATTTGGGACCCATAAGAGTCGATATGAATAAAGTGGTTATGCTGGTTACTGCTCATTAGAGGCATAGTCAATAATAACATAAAGCTTAAATGAAAAATATTACATATGGTTCATCAATATTCGATTGCAAATATAATAGTAATATTTTAAACAATCTAAACAAAAGCTGAACATACAAAACCGTTACACAACAAATAAACTTTAAACCAAGCATATAAAACAACCAATCAAGCCTATGCTTACACCAACCGACTTCTCTTCGAACCTATCGGCTAATAGAAACCTTGATCCCTCATCATGCCATCCAACTCCAAATCGCCGACAATATTTATCTCATCAACACTCTTGACATTCTAGAATATTCATCATACTATCAGCATCACTTCCGTTTCCATTAGAAGCTTCCTGCAACGTAGAGCACATTTGCACACTCCAAATTCCGCAAAGCATCACCCATAGATCATAGATGGCTTTACATTCTCATTTTCAGTAAACATTTATGAGTCGTTTCACCAGTTTTTCTTCAAAGATTATGAATTCACATAAACCCTTAAACTCTCGCCTTCCTTGCCAAAAAAAACGTGAAGGTATACCAAATGTGAAGATGTGATGATTATTCAATAGTCAGTTACTTGATGGATACGTAAATGAATGACGCCAGTGACAGGAAGAGAAGGGAGCAGCAATGACAGCTGCAGGAAAAGGAGGGTAGAGGACAGCAAGGACGACGAGAATAGGAACGAAGGGACGTTTGAGACCTTTAGGTTCTATAGTTTTTTATCAATGGTTTGTGTTAGATTATTTTAGTTAGTTCTTTTAATTAGTGATGACATGGCACTCTTAATATCCACCTAAGATTTTGTTAATCCATAATTTTCCACGTCATATTAAGATGAGCGGTTACTTATTCAGCAGGTCAATCATGCTCTTAAATAAATGTAAGCTTTAGTCCAAACCACTACCGTCCACCGAGCTGAAGTACTGAAATACTGTAGATCACCATCGATCTGAACTAGAGATGGCCAAAAATCGGTCCCGGGCCGGTCCCAATCGGTCCTCACCATTCTCATAACCGGCCATAACCGGTCCCGGCGTAACCGGTCCCGGTCTCGGTCCCGGTCTCGGTCCCGGTCCCGGTCGAAAATGATAGGACCGGTATAGGTACTTTATAACCGGTTATAGGCCGCCGGTCCCGGTCCCGGTCCCAACCGGTCCCAACCGGTCCCAACCGGTCCTTCATTAAAAAAATAAGATTAAAAAATCTTATTTTTTTAATGATATATATTTTTAATACATTATAAAATTTACAATTGGGTCACTCAAATACACTTTAAAAATGCGTTTTAATATAATTAAAATTACGTTTTCTTATAAAAATACATTATAAAATTATTTAAAAATACATTTATTTATAAAATTAATTGAATTTTTGGGCCGGGCCGGGCCGGTCCATAGTCGGTCCCATAACCGGTCCCGGTCCCACGAAACTACCAAAAACCTCAACCGGTCCCGGTTTTCGGTCCCATAACCGGTCCTTACTGGTCCCGGTCCCGGGCCGGTCCTTTGTCGGTCCCGGTCCCGGTCCTCCGGCGGTCCCGGGCCGGGCCGGGCCCATTTGGCCATCTCTAATCTGAACCACCACCGACCACCTTTCATTTAGTAACATCTTTGGTTGTGTATTTTAAAATGTTTTACATATTAATTAAAGTATTTTTAGTTTTAAAAAAGTTAAAATTTTCAAAAAGGAGATTTTGGTCATTTACCAAATTTGATTCCAATTCCAAACCTACGTTATGTGAACCAAACAGACAAATTCCAATTCCTTCGCAAATTCCATTCCGTCGTTTGTCAACGAGACAGGTGGTCAAACCTGAGAATATTCCATTCCAATTCCTTCAAAGTCAAATTATTTTAACGGATTTCATTAGATGCAAAAACATTTCGTAAACCAAACCTCACCTGAAAGTTTGTTTTTAAAATAAGAATGCTTTAATGCCATTTTATATCAACTAGAAGGGTACTTGCATAATGCAGCGAGATGCATCTTGATTTTAATGTTTCGTTTTAAATTTTGGGTCAATCAATGTTATAATGCGATGTTATGTGGTTTTGAGAAAAAGAAAACGTTTTATTTTTGAATGAAATATAAATTTGAAGATATTATAAATTTTTGATAAAAATAAACGATATTAATATCAAATTAACTATTTAAAAGTTCGTTTTTTGTTTAATTTCTTTAAGTCAATTTTTTATTATGAATTAATTGAATTTTTAAAACGAAATAATTTATTTTTGGTTTAATAAAATAATTTATTTAAGATAATAATTAAGTATTATGTTACAACTCAATAATTATTCTAATTATATTTTAGATATTTTATAATTAAAATGAGATGTTTATCCTCTAAGATTATGTTTATACGTGGTTAGTTACACGAATTCAAACATAAAACTTTAATAAGTTGCATTTACGCATAATTTACTTGTAATCTTGAATTTTAAATAATATGCATTAATAAACAGTATATAAATAAAAAATAATTTTTAAGTGTTTTTGTTAAGATGGTGTAAAAATATTATTGATTCCGGAAAAATAAAAGCCGGAAAAACGAGATATAAAGAGAGTTGTTGGCCGTCGCCTGAGAAGACCAAACAAAACTGAAAATATTTCAAATTATCTTAACGCCGATAAAAGTTTCGATTCTTTGAGTAACCGGAGAAGTCAGACGGAATATTTGAGCTCTCTAGATCTCTGATTCACCATTCGCCGTGTAAACTCATGAAGTTTCTGGATTGGTACGTCAAAATCGCAGTCGTATCAGCAGCAATTGGAGGATCTATGGAGTATTTCATGATTAAAACCGGTTTCTGTTAGTCAGGCCTTTCCTCTGTTCGGTTTAATTTCAGATTTGCCTATTGAATTTGCTGTTCGTTTTATTTTGTTTATCTGTTTGTGTTAATGAGAAATTGGATTTTGATTAATCACTATGAAGGGGGTTTGATTTTAGCTTTATTCATTATGGGCGAACTAGCTTACAAGTAGATCTGACGATTGCTATGTGTTTTTTAAATGTGTAAGAGAACTCATGAATGCTAAACCCTTATTATAGTTATTTGTATAAGAAACATGGACTTTGGTCAAATTGGTTTAATTTTAGCAATTTGAAGTGACAGGAATTCATAATTTTTATGTGTGTGAAGCATGATAATACATCAAATCTTGCAACATAGATTAATATTGGTTAATATTGTGTGGGAAGGGGATATGTTAATTGCAAGCAGATGTTTAGAAGAACAGGACAACCAAGTCTTCATGCTTGCTAAGTAAGAAATTCCTATGCACCAAATGGCCAATGGTTAGTTTTGAATGTCAAGATGGTAGGTTATGAATTATTTGCTTGGTTCTAAATTTTTTATACATATCCAACCCAATTCTTATGTAATTTGAGGATGATAAATGATAGATTCTTCTTTGTGATATGGAACTTCTTGCTAACATTAAACATTGGAATTGTAAGTTGAAATTTCTCGATTTTACTTCTTGAAGAATGCATGTAAAGAAAGAGTTGCGGTGAGAGAAGGGGTTATAGAATAAAAATGGAAAAACAAATAAGAAGCATGTGGAAGTATATTAGACCTTACTTGAATGAGCATTTCCAAAGCATCTCTTATAGTAAAGGATGCAGCATTTTCATAACTTAACTTGAAATTGTTACCATCCTTCTCTTGCAAAAGCTCAATCTTATGCAGTTTCAGGACAAAGGTTCACCATTAGCATAGTAATATTAATGATTGTTACGATGATTTTGTGCATCACTTAGATGTTGTTTTACTTGGACAAATTTGTGGATCACCTAGGGGTTTGCGAGAGCATCCTTAGTTCCCATATGATGACAACCCAAGAGTGGTTGAGTGTATTATCTCATCCTCGTAATTGAAGAGGCTCAAGCTAGCTAGTCCTGTAAGGCTTATTCTAATTCTTACAGATAGTGAAAATCCAAGATATCTTAACTCTTCATTTATGAGATCTAAGGGGAGTTAAAATCCATACATGGTGCAATTGTAAGTATGTATTATCTTTACATAACTATTGAAATATTGAATAAACAAAGGATCATGATGGGTCATTTGCTGATGTAAATGAAATCCTATGATAAACCTTGATTTATATATATGAAAATAATATGACGTAATTAGCCATAATGTTTGAAGACTCCTTGAGTTGGAGATTATCTAAATGCCCAACTTCTCGCATATAAGGTTACTCATGAATCACCGTAGGGGATCTTTTAGACAATTGACGAAATGAACTGCAATTGGCTTAATATATGAGGGTACATAAGAAGCACATGCAATCTTCTTGCAAAGAAAGTGGCCGTTAACCTCATTGTCTTTTGTATGTCTGTGGAAAATTTGATCACCCTCTTTGTCTTTTGTATGTCTGTGGAAAATATATTTCATGAAAGATGTGCATGATGGCTCTGATTATCCTTATACATTTCTATCGGACCACTTAAGGATTTTTCTAATTCCTATGCCAAATGATGAACCTGAACCATTCACAAGTGCCAAGCGGTTTGGGACATGACTTGATACTCTCTTACTTGGCGGGAAATGACAACTTGCCTCTTGATTTTCACGAAATAAGAGTTCTTTTGAAGAAAACACATAACATGCCATAGGCCTCTACCATGTGGACATTCTACATAACTGGCATCTAAGCATATTAGTGTGACTCTGAATAATGCAATTAATTTTTCAACCAGGTAGATTTACGTATCAATAATTAGTACGAGGGGAATAGATGAATTGAATTTCCATGCTCACTGACTGCAAATATTTGATCTCATGACTATGAGAAGTTTAACTTTTCCACCATTTTCTATATCTCGCTGAAAGAAGCATGTTATCAGGCACCATTTGGGAATCAGCTACCTCATAGTCAAGCGTACTTAACTTAGTAAGGATTTCGAAACACACTTCTGATGATCTAACCCCCTTAACACCTAAGAAATAGTCGAGAATAAGGATTTTGAAACACACTTCTTGTGATCTAGCCCCCTTAACATCTAAGAAATAATCAAGATTTCATAGGTCCTTATTTCGAATTCTCTCTGGATGAAGAATCTTGGGTTGTGATCCCTTGTGCATCATCACCTATAATCCTATTGTCATTTACACACACCAACACAATCGTCTTTCCATTTTTCTGATGGAAGGGCATGAAATAATCACATGCACTACAAGTCATCCCATAAGTCTCTAGGGTCTTGGTGATAATTGATAGAACGAGTAGCAAGGAGCCTGTATTAACTTCTCAAAAGAAATCTCTGCAACCAACATACCCATATTGGCTCTTCCTGATCTACAAATGCTGAAGGTTGCTACATATAAGCTACCTCTGAAAAATTTAGTTAAGCAATACATTAATGATATCTTGTTGATGCAAGTTAAAATGATGAATTGTCTCTTGACCATCTTGGTAACAAGACTGATATGTGAAAAGAGTTCTTAGTCACAAAATTGGCTTTGAAGCAAGCAAGGGAACAAATAAGATTTCGGTTTATGGTCTAAACCTACTTGCAACTAGCAATTTCTTTGTGGTAGTAAGGTTAACATGACCTAAAGTTTGGTTTTATGGAGGAAGTCATCTTCTCATGTATACATCCTTCCAACCGGGACATGTTTATACCTTGGAAACATTTCGATTCATAATTGTTTATATTAAAGAGAAAGGCATAGGGACTCAACAGCACCAATGAGGGTGGAGGATGTAACAGTCAATGGGGGTGAGGAAAGGCAGGCCGAGGCCGGGAAGGACATGGGATGAGCAGCTGAAGCTGGACATGGAGGAGTCAGTACTTTCCGAGGACACAACTTCCGATAGGAGTTCTTGGAGGTGGCTGATTTGGGTAGTTGATTACTTGTAGAACTCTATTTGGTACTGCAGTTGGAGGAGGGAGATAGGAGGGTAGAGGGTGGGGGATGGGGGAAGAGTTGAGAGTTGAGAGTTGACAGATAGCGGGGGAATTTTTGGAGTGTTGCGTGCTTTTAGCTAGCTCTTGGTGGCTAAGCTGTCTCTACTGGCCTTCTTGTTCAACCTGTCTTCTCCTTTTCTCTTTCCTTTGTCGTTTTCTCACCTTCAATTCTCATTCGTGATTGTATCAGGCTCTTTGCGATCTTTTCCAAATCTGTCTTTTAAAAATAAAAACAAAACCTTTTTTGGTGCAAAATTGTGGCTTTTAGTTAAGCTTTCGAAATCTTTTTAGCAAGCTGTGATCTTCTTGGAAAAGACCTCTGCCACTTGAGGTAGAAGAAATGTCTGTGCACATTTTAACTCCCTGACCTACTAGGTTTGGTTTGAATAGTGAGTCAATGAAGCATGATGAGACCGGGTATCCAAATCTGTTGATGGGTTTACGGTTTACCAACACAAGTGTGTTTTCTTTTCTGCGTGCCTCTATCATACCAATATGGAGTCACATGGAAAAAATAATTAACCAGTACAGGGTACTAAAAACAGACGTATTCAGGTGACAAAAGGCTGTAGAACCATTATGAACAAGAACATAAAAATCCAAAATGAAACCAGCAAATACTTAATCTATGTGGAAGACCCTTCCAATTTGAACGGTAAACCATTGTTTTTGTTAGTGACCTTTCACATTTCTTCCCCTGTGGTGGCTTCCAATATTTCGGATGATTATGTCTATCCTTCCTAAGCATCCCTCTCTACAGCAAAGGGTTAACTTCCAAAACTAATACGAGCATATTATTATTTTCTTACGCAAAAGCTCAACGGTTAGTGCTGTTGAATTTTCAATACAAGGCTCATGTGCACATGGACTACCACAGGTTCCCATAAATTCATATCCCATGAGCATATTGGAAAAATTAATTAAGGAGGAACTTAATATATTGAGTTTGAGCCAGCTTCTCTTAATTGCCATACCCATGAACTGCAAGAAAAGAGGAATCTGATATAGGCTGCCAAGAACTTGGGTACCCATCATGGGAATTGAAATTTTCAACATAAGAATTGTATTATTGGCTAGAAATTGTGTCTTGGTATAACTAGTGAATTTGTGATTCTGACTCAAATTTTTAAGTGGAAAGCATTTCAGTTGATCTGTGAGACGATGGTACATACTGTTGTTCTATATAACACTCTTGAGCATTGTACAACTTTCTTGGCTAGACTAGGTTGTTCTATGGTCCATGTATCAGCTAGATAGTGGTTTTGTAACAATATATCATGGGGCTTGGCATATCCATGTTTCTATATATTACCTGTTGATCCCAACCTTTCTGGAGGTCAAGGTTTCAAGCCACATCAACTGTGAATGTGAGTTTTGACGTATATAAAATTTATGTACTTAAAAGAAGAAGATAGATTTCATTGTAGATGCTTCTTGGCATCTGTTTGTTTTGAAGATATCTTAGATCCCAAAAAGCTAGCCCACAATCATGGGCATAAATGGTTAGAATGAAGTGAATTTAGTCTTAAGTAACTATGTTAGGATCCTTTAAAGTTATTTTAATTTAAAAAATATCCTAATATATCTTTACTACAAAAACATCCTACTGCAATCTTAAAACTAAAACCAATTCCAATCATTACTGGTCATGATCTTTTCAAATTATCATGAATTATGCAGGCATTGGAGGAACTTTTGAATTATTTTCTGATTTAAATTAGTATTGAAGTGTTATTTCTGTTTATCAGAAATGGAACTTGTTTCTTGATGAGCCCACTCTATAGTCCTATATATATATACATATATCATATATGTATATGTGAACAGGGTTCGGTTCCGGTGAGAAGAGAAGTTGTGGTGAGAAGCGTAGGATCAAGGGTTCAGATCTCTTCTTACGCTTCTAACCATAATTTCCCTTCTCACACGATCCTTCGCCTATGTGAACGTTATTGTTATGCCATAAGATAATGCCATTGCAAAGTTCCTTTTACATTCCTGAAGTTTTGCCAATAGCTTGCTGCTAGATAGATCTGTGCCCTTTATTGCAATGTGCTAATTTTGTTCAAAGCCATGAGGTTTTATTTAAGTAACATTTCTCCGAATGCGTTAAGAGATAAAAAGGGTGGAAAATTATGCATTCTGGCTTACATCTGGTTTCTATGTACAGATGATAAAGTGACGGTTCTTGAGGCGGAAAAGAAGGCTTGGGAGAATTCACCAGAAGCTCAGGCGATGCGAGAAGCTCTCAATCCTTGGAGAAAACTTGATGTAGATGAAAGAAAACATTCCTAGCATTTCCGTATTCAAAGGTTTGGTGATAAACCAATCGACATGAGATTTGAGGTCTTAGATAATGCTTCATAAATAAAATGAAATAGTGGTTCATTTCTGTGAGATATACTGGGTTCGTTTGGTTTGTTAGGTTTTCGTTATTGTCTTGTATCAAACATGCAAGTAGCTTACCTAGGACAAAATACAATTGCTACCCGGGTAGTGTACTTGTTCAAATAGGCGAAAACTCGAGTCTGAGAGCCACAGGGGATTGGGGACTGTTATGTACCTGATTTGCCTCTCATATGATGCTCTTGTCGCTGAGCTGTGCAGGTTAGCTTGGGGGTTGCCAATTATAATTGGATGTTAAAATTTTGAATCTGATCCAATATTACAATTGAATATCCGATCTTATTTGTTTGGTTCTAGTTGCATCGGTCGGTTTCAATTTGATCGAATCACGTTTATTATTTTCCACGTTAGGTGATCTTCCATTTACAAGGGAATATGTGTCTTTATTTGGTTCCAAAATGTGTTTAATGGAGGATGGCCATACTCGAATAATATTTGCAAACCTAATATAAAATTAGAAACATAAAACAATATATTCGATAATAGTTACACCAAGCTTTTTATATAAAGTTTCGTGATACATTGTATAACCATAAGCAAATACGACAACGTACGTTGTCTCGATCTATCTCGTCTACTTTCCCAATCAACTTTATTCAAAAAATGTCGTATTCTTTTAAGCTAAAAACCGAGCATGCCAAGATTGGTGCCAATGGTTTTGCTCTCCTTGACGGATTATCGGGTGGAGACAAGTCTAGGCCATCATCATCAACGTTAACCGCTCCACCAGCTCAAACTGCTAAGAAGTTGTTTCACTATCAATATCAACCTGAACCGGCTTTTTTGATTCGGCACCAAATCTACGTTGCTCCACTTAACGAGGATTGAGATAGGTAGATTGCTACGATGTGGCCATGAGTCGTGGTGGACTGTGATCGTAATAGTTTCCCGAAGAGGAAGATCGATTGCTCGTAAGAGTTTCTTTTATTGATAATTTTAGCCAGGAACATCAATTAGCAAGGCATAACAAAAAGTGGTTTGGGGTGGTATAGAGGAAGTTTCAAATTAGTTAGAGAATGTAAGAATAAATGATTGATATGTTAATCATTGGTAAACCTGAATTTTCTTCAAAAATCAGGGCCGGTTCTAGGATTTTTGATGTCTTGTGCGGAAATAATAAAAGATGCCCCTAAGCCTATTTTTTTAAGCCAATGAAACATGCGATTTTTAAAGAGTTTAGAGACTATTCAAGCTAAGTGTCTCATACCCCTATTGACTTTTATTAATTATAATTTAGAAAATACAATTGAGGGGGACATAAGAACCAAAACCCTAAATACAAAATATAGAATGATAAAAGAATAAATTCTGGATTAAGATCGTGCTTCATTCTTTTCCAGTTTTCCTTTTTTCCAAATTGAAATTAGTAAAATAGAAACTTTATTTTAATATATGGGACTTAACAGACAAGCAAAACTATCATTAGTTTTTAACTAAAATAGTAAATTACATCTAAATTACTGTCATAGTAAGTAAAAAATAAAACTCAAAAGTTATAAGTTATAGGGAGAGCTTTATATAAAAAGCCAAATTTTTTCCAAACATGTCCCTTCCAGCTAAAAAAAATGCTCATTACATCTGCGAAAAAACTCTCTCAAACAAAATTTTTTCCAACTTATACAAACAAATTTAATTCATACAGACAACTTTATCCATATAGAACTTAATAAAAAACCAATCAAACGTCCCCAAAATCTAATGCGGTAATGTCAAACCTTAAAAGTAAACAAAAGTCAAAAGAACAATAATAAATTGTAAAATTCATAATCTATGTTACCGTGTATTGCAAAGAACAAGTGCCCAATAATTAAGACAGTATCACAATATGTTGTTAATATTGTGTAGTGTTCTCCAGTTATGTTGATACAGTGATGTACTCATGTGCATTGAAAATTTCAATTCTCAGATATGTCAGTATGCAAAAGGAAGACTCATTATCAAAAATGACAAAAGTCCCTTAGTCTTAGCCTAGTAGGTCGGTAACCCACGTGACCATATGACTCATCTTTATAATAATTAGTTAGAAATTTAATTTTATTTTTTGCAAAAAAGATCTAAAGATTCATAAATCATAGTATGACTCATACAACAACTCGGTAAGTTCAATCAATAGTAGAAATCAGTCATTCGAGATTTTCATCTTTGATTTCTTGAATCTAATTTCATGGTCGTTAATCAGCTGGAAAGAGAACTCCATGCCTTGAAAATCGAAATAGTCGAACTTTGAAGAACAATAGAAATTAGATTGAGTTGTTGGAATGATAGCGTTAACTGGTTCACGACGTGCATTAAGTATTCATCACTACTAGGCCTTGGGCATGTTTTTATAGTTAAAACTCAGTTGTCCAATTCCCAGATTATTAAACCCAAAACTAGTAATAGATGAAAACTTGATGCCCCTTTAAGCTTTGATGTCCTGTGCGGTCGCACGGGCTGCACGTGGCCAGGGCCCTGTTAAAGATATATATATATATATATATATATATGAATTCACGTTCTAATATCTACGTTTTTATCAATTATTCATGTATGAAGATACATATATGAACCCACGTTTTCTTTTATGAACGATTCACATATGAATAATTTATTTTTATGTTATCAACCTTTTTATCTTTCTTATTTCATATCCCTGGGTTGGTATATTTGCGCAAAATTTCGTCACGTGTATACATTCTTCCACCAACGGTTATCGATGACTTGCTTGGTGTTCTCACCGATCGACCAACTTGCATTGCTGATGATATCCACCTTCTTTACTTGGTGTTTGAATACGAGTCTAAACTAAATATTTAGTTATTTTGGTCCGAAGCCATTTGAGTTGTCGCGTACCGGTTGAGACTCAGGGAATGTAGTGGTAATCTCTTGTTTTCTTGAATTCAAATACAAACGCTGACATAACCCTTGTGACCATGGAGATTCACCTATGATAACTTCACGCCATTCATGGTTTCTTTAGAGATTAGTCGATACACGTAAATCATTTCAGATAAGGTACACACAATTATAAGATATACCTGGCGACATCCATATCGTCTTAATTAGTTTATATGCTTTTCTTTCTACTAATTGTATGAAATGTTAATTTTAAATTTTGTTCATGTAATTATAGTTGTCTATACTGTATTTTGTATTTCATATGTAACATTTTCTTTTGTTTGTTTGTACATACTCCTACATGTATTTTGCTCGCTTGTTCTTTTATTTATTTGTTTTGCAAGTTGGGTTTGGCTTTTCGTGACAATAGCCTATCTGTACATTGGGATAGAGGTAAGGTATGCATACATCTTATCCTCTTAAAGCTACCTAGGATTTACTGGTCTGTAATTATTGTGAAAGTTACCAAACTACCCTCTCTATTTTTCATATATCCGCAATTTTTGACCAGTCAAACCCGTAATTATTGACCGGTCAAAGCCGCAATTATTTATCAGTCAAATCCGATTTTGACCGTATGAAGGACTAATATCACTTCTTTTCTTCTCAAATATTTACCATTTCTCAAAATAACCTTTGGTTATATATATATA